TTCTTTTGTCAAGGTAATTCACTAATGATTTATTTCTTCCTCTGGGATTATTCTATCTAAATAATGAACAGTAGTGATGCTGTTGTATCAGTTTGGGTAAATAAACAAATGGACAAATAAAATAGATAATAACCTATTTCGTTTAAGTTCTTTAATTTATTAGTATTCACACTCTATGGCAGTATATTGGGAAGGTCACTTCTCAGTGCTCTAAGACTTATAGCAAAGGTTACTAAACCTGAATTGGTAGACAAGAGTTTTCTCATCCAGCATAGTTTGCTATATCAAAGAAATCATAGGACTAGTCCTTATAAAGAGGTGTAGTACTCCTTAATGTATTAATTTTTGTTGGCTGTGATTTCTCTTTTTCCATTTGTGCTTTTTGCTCCTCCTTTTTTAAAAAAAAATTGGTAGTAATTTGTTCATTTTACTGTTCTCTTTTGAAAAAAGTAATTCTCAGTTGCACACATCTACCATTCTTTTCTGTTCTGTGTATTTCTGCTCTCATCTTTATAATCACATTGCTCGAATTCTGTCTCTTTACTCTCCTTTGAACTAGCTTTGTTCCCTTTGTTTCCTATCTTCATTTGTAATTTCAATTATTGTTTCCTTTTCTCTTAGGTATTTTGCAATATGAATTTTCTTCTGTGAAGTGATTTGGCTGCTTCATATTGATAACATACAGTATCATCATTTTTATTGTTCTATTTGCTTTTTCTAATTTATTCTTGAAACCAATCCCTTAGATTATCTTGTTCTGCCATGTTTTTATATATTTTACTGTCAGCAATGTTCTTTAATTCTGATTTTATTAAATTGTGGTTTAAAAATACAGTAGGAATAATTTTAGCCTTTTACTATTTAGAGGGTTTCTCTTCTATGAATTAGTATGTGATCAATTTTTGTAAGTGATCCATGTATATTCACTATTTCTCCCATTTAGATTTACCACACAGCTACTAACTTCCCAACTTTTTAGAAAAGTTTGTTTCCATAGTTTTCTTCTTCTTCTTCTTCTTTTTGTTTTTGAGGCAATAAAGGTTAAGTGACTTGCCTGGGGTTGCAAGTAGTAAGCGTCTGAGGCCAGATTTAAACTCAGGTACTCCTGCCTCCAGTATTGGTGCTCTATCCACTGCACCCACCACCTTGCTGCCCCGTCGATAGCTTCTTTAGAGTTACTATGTTCTAATAATGAAGTGAGGAAATCCCCTACACTGTTATGTTTTTATCTGCTTCTTTCTATACTGGTGTTACTTTATTTTATGAGTATTTTAACTGCCAAATTGTTTGATATGTTTCATTTTTCATTTCACCAATGTAATACCTTTATTTCTCTACTTTGATGTTTCCAATGAGAATTCTACTTTATGCTATACTTTGCTTTCCTCCTGGACTCCTTACTGTTCCTTGAACAAGAGACTCCATCTCCCAGCTCTGGGCACTTTCACTGCCTGTCCTCTATACCCTCCCTCCTCATCTCTGCCTCAAGAGTAGGGGCTGTTTTTTGCCTTTCTTTGTTTTCCTAGCACTTAGCACAGGGGCCTGATATACAGTAGGTCCTTAATGTTTATTAACTATTATATTATCTTTCTCTAGTTATTTCTCTCAATGTCTTCCAGGTGCCATAGCTGCAAATAAACAGATGTGAGCATAAAGAAGGGGGGAAAATATCAATACTAACCTCATCCCAAATTACATTTATCAGTGGGCCAACAATGTGGAATCAAAGCAGTATACATAAATAAGTCACAGTAAAAGAAAATGTATGTTTTTGGAGGAAGAAAGCTATTCAAGTTAACTTTTTAATGCACTCATATTGTTCTTGCTGAAAACAACTGTTGCAGTTTCATGATGTGTTGTGGCAGAACCACCTCCAAAGAATTCAGTCAGCTCACCTCTAATCCAAGCATAGGCATTTATTGAGAGTGACACCTCTCATGAAGTGGGCTAAGTTCCAAGAGGAACCAGCAACTTAGTAAGACAATAAAGCAATTTTATGGTGTAATGATGCTGATTACACAACAGAAACTATGAATATTAAAAAGGCAGGAGGGGTTTGTTAAGGGATTAGGTAATGAGGAGGAGTCCAAGCTTCAGCAGAACTGTGTATGCCATTACCCACAATGCACACAGAAAAATCCATGGGCGGGGGGGGGAGGAGCTTGTATGTATGATATTATAAGCCTCTCTACGTCATAAGTTCACCTGAAGGAGAGCTTTTGTTATTACTGCACAGGTGCCTACTCAGGAAAAGTCCTTTCTATTGTTTTGGGGTCCACATCCTGGTGGTGTTCCTTTCTGATTGGCTGGCTGTCATGGTACTGTCTGAGACTAGATGGATGTGGTTGTGTGCATGGACACACCTGCTGTTTCTGTGGGAAATATGAAGAATGGGTCTAGGGGCAGTAGCTGGAACATGCTTGCTGTTCTGTGAGAAATGAGTTCATGGACATATCTGTTGTTCTAGTGAGCAGCGAGGCATGTATGAAGAAGTCAGGATATTGGGGAGGGGGGAGGTAGGAGCAGTGGGCCTGCTGTTTAATGGGGCCTATGATTGAGTCTGGGGGCCTGTGGTGTGATTAATGCCAGATTGTATGGTTAAATCAGGACATGCCTGCTGTTCAGTAGGGCCCATAAGCAAGTTAGAACATTGGGACTGAGAACATCTCTATTAGTATAACAATCTCTAATCTAAATAGTTAATTTATAAGCACTTCTAAACAGTCTACTAAGAGATGGTAGACTTAGCTATCCAAACTAATACTATCCAGGAACTTGGATAAAGCCAGCTGATAAAGGCACTAATAAATAAGAAACTTGTGTGGGCCTATTCCACGGGCCTTTAGGCTGAAGTTTAATAAGGTCTTCAGGATAACAATTTTATCAAGTAGACACATATTACATTTCATTCACATATTTTTAGAACCATGGAAAGGATCTGAGAGAAAAACTAGTCCAATTCCCAATTTTATGAGTGATGAAGTACACCAAGAGAGTAGAAGTGAATTATCCAAGGGCACTACGATTAAAACCCAGTTTTCTAATTCTAAGTCCAACACTTGTTCTACTAGGACCTTGTAACACATTTTATCTCATATGTGAAAGTTCTAATTCCAGAATATTTCTGACTACAGATAAGAGATACTGGTATTGTCTAGATTCCCTAGGGTCATAGTTTCCGAACATTTTGAGCTTAAGAACTCCATTGAAAAGGTTAAAAAAAATTAGGTTCCCACCTGAGAGTAGCTGTACTATTGGCAAAGCTCAAAACAATAGGACTCAATGTACTCAGGCTTTTCAGACTCTTGGCAATAACTCTTTGGCCTTAGTATGGGTCCAAGAACAGATAGCAAAGTATGGCTTTGGAGTTTTCTTCTACTCAGGTTTGCTGTCTGTATCCCTTGTCCTAGAGGAATAATGCATGGTTTTAGTTTCTCCTTTCCTTTCCCTTGTCTATACCATTAAAAAAGCATAGGATTCCATACCCCAATTGGACATATTATATTCCCTAATTTCACCTTTTATGTTCTACATTGTAGATAACAAATACTACTGGTGACAGAATTTTTCAGACTATCCACATCTTGGTACAGAGAGTCATTTATATAGTATGACGTAAGGGATGGTATCATAATTAGCTTTGAGAGGCAGTGTTTGAAAGGCTCAACTTGGTCCTTATCATTCTCATAGCTAGACTGAAAATTCCCCCAACAATCAATTCTGTAGTTTAGAAACCTTCTTCCAAGAACACAAACTAGTCCAGTAAATCAGGAGGGAAAAAGAAGACCTGAGAGAGAGTTGTGGAAGGGCAAAAGAGAAAATATAATAGTTGTTCAAGTAGGACTAGACTTATATAGTTAAGCATCTTATAATTCTTCAAAAGACCTATAATTTCTTAGATTACAAACAGCTAACAAATGTTATATGAACCAGATGCCTGAGATTATTAGTTAAAAAAAAAAAGAAACTCAGAGTTGTCTCATTCCTATACATCACCTGCTAAGGCACTCGTCTACTACTACCCATATAAGAGACTATTGCCACAAGTCATGTTAGTAGGCTTGGATTAATTTAACCAGCATGGCTCTGTTGTCAGAGGACCTAGGGTTAAAATATACTTCTGATGTTTACTACCTGTGTGACCTTGGGCAAGTCACTCAATCCCTATGGGCACCAATTTCTTCATCTGTAAAATGATGAGTTGTACTAATTGGCCTCTAAGCTTCCTTCCAGCTTTAGTTTGTTCTCTTTGAGCCTACTTTTATAATGAAATTAATGCTGCCTATGAAATATGGATTCTCTGGGCCTCAGTTTCTCCATCTGTAAAATAAGTTAGTTGGACTAGATCACCTTTAAGGACTCTTCTAACTCTTCACTGATAATCCCAAGATTTCTGATTATGTTGTCCACTATTGAAAAATTTAAGATTGTGCTAGACAATTAAAAAAAAAAGTAATTCATATTTATGTAACATTTCAAAGTTTACAAATTACAGAATATGAATTGAAAGGGATTGCAAAGGCCATCCAGTCTCGCTGAACATGGTTCTTCTCTATAACATACCAACAAGTATCCAGTCTTTGCCTAAAGACCTCTATGGAGAGAAAATCTATTGCCTCCCATCTATTGCCTTCTGTACTGCTCTTATTATTATTAGAAAGTTAAAGCTATCCCAAGTTGATGTGAAGTCCATGCCACTAATTTAAATTAAATACAAAGACGGTAGGTAAGCTAGCCTTCAAATACTATAATGTTTTATTACTTAAATGAAGAACAGGAAAAACTGTCATTTTTACACTAACCCCAAAGAAGGTAATGGAAGAATTATGATCTCCATTTTACTGATAAGGAAATGAAAGCCCAGAAAAGTTAAGTAAGCCAAGGCTAAAATCCACTTCTTCTGACTCCAAGAATGGTATACATTATATGATTACATTATATGATGTTGGCTCTCAATTGCAGGAATGCTATTTTATTATGTAGTTGGTTATGAAACTCACCTGTGATAAAACGGGGATCTTTTACCCAGTCATCAGAGTATACTGCATAATTACTCAAGTATTCGCTTTGTAAGTATCCATTAAGGGTACAGAACATGAATGCCAACAAGAATATGAAGACTGGTACTGGCTTTCCTCCACGAATCAGAAAAGGGAAAATTAATGACCTAAGGAAAAGAAGAAATATGTATTTTAATATCCAAATGGATCTGTGATCTCAACAAAGTGGATACTCCCTACAATGATGCAAATTATCTATCTACGTTTAGCCATCCTGTCTGCCTCTTGTCCCTTTCTTCCCATTACTTGCCAGGGATGGGGAAATGGAGGTGGAGGGTTTCATTTACTCAATGTTCTAGACCCAAGTTCAAATCCCTTATCACATACTTCTGAGCTGTGTGACCCTAAGCAAGTCACTTAATGGTTTTTGCTCCAGATTCCTCATTTGTAAACTTGAGATAATAAAGATATCAAATGAGATAAAATTTTTAAGCATTATATAAAAGTTAGCTTTTAAAAAAGGATGCTCAACTACTGTGAATAGGTTTGAAATTTCAAGCTGATAGCTATTTCCAGTCAGCTTGGCTGTGTGTTGGTCATGTTAATTTCACACTGGTTAGTTTTGATTGTTTTTTTTTTTCCTTTCCACTTACACTGATGTTATCTCTTATGTATGTTGTTTTCCTGGTTGTGCTTGCTTCATTTTGTACCAGTTTACACAATGCTTCTCTGTATTCCCTGTATTAATTCCATTTATGTACCCCAACTTATTTAGCCAGACCCCAATTGATGGGTATTTATTTTGTTTCCAGTTTTTTGCAACCATAAAAAGTGCTGCTATTTTTATACACACACACAACATGTATTACATAGCAATATAATATAAATTTCATATTACCAGCATATCATGCTAATTATCAATAGTATTGATAAAATATAATTATATATGGCATAATATATGAAATAAAATCTATGTATATATGCATGTGTGTATACATACATATGTGTATGTATAGACACAAAGATATCTTATTCTTTCTGTCTTTGACTTCCCTAGTGCAAAGGGCTGTTAACAAATACTAGATTGTACACTGTATTTGTCAGTGGTATTTTTTTTTAAGTAACAAATTAAAATGAACCATGGTGGAGCCAGTTGAGATATAATGGGTCAAAAGCTCTTGTTCTTAAATATTTGCAAAATTCCCTATATATGTTGGCTAGCAGACTATTATGAGATACTTACTGCTCTATCTAGAATCTTCAAGCAAAGACTGAATGATTACTTGTCAGGTATAAAGGGGGAATTCTTGTTTAGAAACAAGTTGTACTAAATGGCATTTGAAGACCCCTTTTTGTGTGAGATAACAAAAATCTAAGAAGTCTATAAGAGTATTGAGGCAGGACAAATTAAAATAGTTGGAAAACCTCACTGTTAAAATGACAATGGTTTACAAACCCCTGCCTTTTTCACAAAGTATCCTGCTTATTCATCACAATATTTAGTGAAGTATATAAGTACAAGTAGGATATATACCACCAAGATAACTAGTGTTGAGAGTCATGAATATATTAATTTATTTTGGATTTTTTCCTACAATACTAATTCCTAGAAGAGAAATTATAGTTTTAAGGAAGCTTTACAAAATTAATATTCTTGCTATATTTTAATTTTGGAAAACAGACACTGAAGCCAGTTAACCTAATACAATTTGACTGACTATGGTAGTAAATTATTACATACCCTATATAATACGTTTGCAAAAAAATACATGTGCATATGGAAGGAGGGAGGAAACTGGACTGATGGTGTTCAATTATAGAAATATAGTTCTTTAACAATGTAGCTTCAGAAAACTTCAGAAACCCATAAAAAACCACAGGTACAAGAGTTAAAAAATAATTCACAAGAAAAAAGATACTTTGTGCTCTTTTTGAAATATTTTGAAAATAGTACTTAAAGACAACAAAGAATTCAGTACTTGCAGTGCTTCAAATGTTAAGAGCATCTATAAAATGCAAGCATAGCTGGATTTCTTTGGATGATGTCAATTTATCAGTCTCTGCTCCTATCTCTCAAGATTATTAAGCAATAGCTGAATGACGTTCAATGGTTGAATGACTTCTTATCTCGAGATTACTGATTCATTACAGGTTGGATTAAAGAATTCGAAGTCCTTTGCAACTCTGGGAGCCTATGATTTCAAATCTGTTTTCTCTCTTTACTAACTAGTAAATTCAAAGCTAGGTCTTTAATTTGGGAAATAAAAGTGACCTTGTAGGTTTGAGGTTTTTTTGTTTTTAGCCTTTCAACATTCATCACTGGAAAATTTACTTAGATCTGCCTTCCTAACAGCACATTTGATACAGTAGCTGGTTTTATGTAACAATGGATGGTTTTTCCACAGGCTCTGTTTTCCATTGAATGTATTAGTTTACTGAGCATATCAGCCAATACTTCTATTTCGTAAGTAAAAGTCTCCAAAAATCAGAGGATAACTGTTTCGATTTTGCAAACTGTATGTACATTACTATACAACAACTTAAAAAAAAACCACTTTATGTAGACAATTGAAAGTATGCAATGAGACTAATTCATATTTGGATAGGTTTCTGCATGTCCCATTGGCTATTCCTTTATCCCCTGCTCAGATTAAGTATTTGCCCCTCTAGAGCTCAAACTAGATTTGGATTATTCCACTCATCTTAGGTCAGTGACAATCATTCCCATGGTATGAATGGCCTCAAGCGTTTCTCTGCATTTTAGGAAAAAGTCCTTCACAAAGCAGTAGCATTCCTATTTCCACACAGAGGTTTTGTAGTAAGTAGAAAGAGACCAGGAAACTTGGGTTTTACTAATGAGGCACATCAAAATTTCTCTGCAATCAGTAACCTATAAAATCTTTGGCTTGGATGAGCTGACTTTGGGGATTCCTACCAGTTATAAAATTGCATGCATGTTTTATAATTCTTGTTCTCTGAACAACCACATCACATAGGGCATGATGCCCTGAATGTGAAGGGTAGAGGGGAAAAGGCAAGGGAGAAGGATATAGGTACATGGAAGGAAAGGGATTTTATGCAGCCACCAATCCTGAATTTAAGTGGTGTATGAGTTCGGAAGCTATCTGTGTTTCTTCAACTGATATTCTTAAGCATTTTTTTATTGCAGAAGATGTTACCAAAAGTATTTCCTGTGGGGAAACATTTAAAAATAAGTTTAAGACCCCAGATTTAAGAGCTAGAAAGCACCTTCAAAACCATCTAAGTCCAAATGTCACTGTGGTGGTGTTATTTCAGTTGTGTCCAATTCTTCGGGGACTTCTTGGCAAAGATAGTTGGAAAGATTTGCTGCCTTTTCCTTCTTCAGTTCATTTTACTGATGAGGAAACTGAGGCAAACAGGGTTAAGTGACTTGCCCAGGGTTATACAGTTATAATCCTGCAGAGGCAGGATTCAAACCCAAGACTTTTGACTCCAAATCCAGCACTCTTCACTGTACCATGTTGCCTCTTCCTATGTATGTCAACAAAAAATTATGATTGTATATTAATTTACAAACAAAGCTTTTCAGGAATACATTAAATATGCAAAGTGACGGCACACTGTTAACAATAAACATTTCTTTATATGACTAAATTTGATGTCAAGTCTTACAAGTCTTCTGAATTTGGGAGTAAGACAAAGTTGAGTGATACAAAGAAATAAAATACTTTACTTCTATTTTGCCAATGCTAAACACAGTATATTCATACATTCAAATATTCCAGTGATGAACAAATACTAATTGGATGGTTCCTCCTCGTCTTCTTATTTAAACTTCATAACATTGAACCCTTAGTACTGCATTCCACAAAAAGTAAATGTGTTTGGCCAAAGAGGCACATTTATTAGAAGAAATAATATCTTTCATATTCTTTCCCTTTTCTCCACTCCAAAGAACAACACTACCCTAATTCAAGTACTTCTTCACTTCTCACTTGGTCTCTTTCAATTGCTTCCTAACTGATATTCCCATTGCCAGTCTCTCTCAAGTCACTTAAATTCAACAAGCATTTATTAATTACCTAATATGTGCCAGGCATTGTGCTAGGTCTTAGGAATGCAAAGTTAAAAACAAAATTCTCTGCCTAACTTAGCAGCTTGATTCTATTGGAGGAAAACAAGTAAACAGGTAAGTAAAATACTAGAGAGACAGACATTAGGATAACTAAAGGTGATAGAGACTGTGAACTATGTCAAATATATCACAGATGTTGAGCTTTTTCCAGCCACCTCCTGGTTTCCAGGCTATTCTTGTCTCCTGAAGTTGTTTATCAAATCTATCCAGACCCCTAGTTTGGAAGGGATTTCACTCACAAAGTCCTACTTCGCAGCCATATTGTTCCCAGGTTCTCTAAGGCAATCCCACCAGAAGTAAATTCTGGTAATCGTTGCAGCTTCTATCACGTTATAAAGGTTTCCTGGAAACCGTCGGGGTCAACTTTACAAAGACTAGCTAAGTACAGGGAGGCTCACGACCAGTAAGCTGACACAGCCTTTGGCCACCTTAGTTGGTCCTTTGTTAGAAGAAGCATAAATGGCATCATTATTAACGTCTTAACTTACTGGCGAAAAATGAGCCAAAGAAAACAAGAAACTTTCCTTAGCTCCTACAGTGAATTTAAAAAGTGAGGTTAAAAAAAAGAGGCAAAGGTTTACTAAATGGCCCGGGTGGAGTGGGGCGGGGATCTCGGGTGAAGCTGCCTGGCATCGCGTGTCCACAGGAGGAGGATTTCGTAGGTGGACAACACCTATCAGGGACAAAATAGTTGAAAACTCGGCCTCTAGGGACCACGGAAATCGGATCCCTCCGATCCTGTGGCTGGGCGCTCTCCTTTCATTTGAATGCTTTTGGCACCTGGTCTCTTCTATGCCTCCTCCCAAGGAGCAAAACTTACCGGGGTTAGGGGGAGTGCTTTGAAATGGGCTGAAGGTCACCCCCGACTCCAGAAGCTTCTGGTTCCCTTGAGGAGGGGAAGGAGGAGAAAGAGAAGGGGGGAACCCCCCCACCTCCAAACGCCATTACCTTTGCAGGTAGTGGATGATGAAGATGGCCAGGAGGATGCGATTGGGCCAGTGGCTGAGGCGCTGGGCCGGGGTGCAGGTGACCACGTAGAGGGGCACCAGCAAGCACGGCAGCTCCTGCACGACCCACGCCAGCTTCCCTGGCAGAGGCAGGCCGTGGCTGGCGCTGGCGTAGCGGCCGTAGGGCGATCCACTGATCGAGATCACTACCCAGAACATCAGACCCAAGAGCCCTACAAGGAAGGAAAGCATTTCCATGGGCCCTATTTCTGCCGCGAGCGTCATGGTCCCGGCAGCAAGGGCTGGGGCTCGGCCCGAGCCCGAGACGATCCGCGAGGGTGGCCCAGCAATACCGCCCCGAGGGGGCGGGGGCGGGGGCGAGGGCAGACAGGAAATACCGATTTGGAATCAAGGGATCAGTTTTATTCCGGTCTGGACGCCACAGCTCCGGACCAGGGTAAAGTGAAGCTGGGAAAAGACCAAAGAAACCCGCTGCCGGAAGAGTCTGCCACCCGGAAAGGTGAGAAGAGAATTTCAAAGGAGGCGGCTGAGGGGAGGGACCGAGAATCAGGAGGTCAGGGGCCGAGAATCAGGAGGTCAGGGGCTGAGGACGTCGAATTGACAGATGATCCCTTTAACTCCCGAGGAAGGCTTCCTATTGGACAAGAGGACCTCCTTTCTCTCCGCCCTCCATCTCCCCCAACCCCAGAAGATCCACGTGTGACCTGCTCTGAGCAAATCAAAAAATGCCGGTAATTCTAAGAGTAGCTCCTCGGGTCTCTCCAGACCCGCCCACGAGCAGCACAGTACTACGCCTGCGCCCCCGGCTTAGGGGCCATACTCAGTGCCTGCAAAACAAGGTCCTTCACAGAAAAGACATTTTGGGGTTTCGTCCTTACAGTTATCTGCCGTCAAAAACATTTCCGCCTTTCCAAGGGCTTTTTCCAGAGGAGAAGTCAGGTTTGGGGGTTCCTGGGGATTTCCTCCCCACTTCTATCCGTAGGCTCTTACGTACGCGACGCTTGCTGGGGCTGGGGCCTGAGGAGAAGGCCCCCTCGAGGTGGAACGAGCCGGCGGCATCATTCTGAAGCTCTTAGCGCGTGGCGTGCTCGCTGCCTCGGCAGCATGGGGCGGCGGTATCGGAACCGGCGGCGCTCGCAGCAGCAACAGCAGCAACGCCCAGAGTCTAGAGAGGACGCGGCGGACGGGGACGGGAAGCGGGATAAGTCGGTTAGGGCCACATTCCGGGGGGGGAGGGGCGGCTGGGACCGGCCATTGGGGAAATGGGCTGGAGGCCCCGGCGGGGCCGAGCCCCGAGCAGCGGGCGGTGAGGGGGGCAGTGGTCGGCGGCTCCCAGCGCTCCTGCCCGCCCGGCTCTGCGGAAGCTCCCCGCTCTTCGGGGACGACCGCAGGTGCGTTTGTCATCGTTTCTCGTTTTTCTTTAGGGCTGGGAGGGCGGTTACCCCGAGATCGTCAAAGAGAACAAGTTGTTTGAACACTACTACAAGGAGCTGAAAATCGTGCCCGAAGGCGAGTGGGAGCAGTTCATGCAGGCCCTCCGGGAGCCCCTCCCGGCCACTCTGAGAATCACGGGATACAAATGGTAAGGGCAGGGTGGGCGCGGCCGGAGTGGGCACGGCCCGGCTCGTCTGCGCCTTAAAACACGCTTTGGGAATTCAGTCATGTGACCAGCACGAAGAATGACAAGTGTGCGTTGAGGGCTAAGGGAAATGTGAAGTTGTGGACCGGCGTTTTAGAAAAAATTTAATCTCAGTATAAATTTTTGAGAAGTTTTAACAATCTTGCAAGAAAATCTGTCTTGCTTTTGGACTTTGTGCAGAGCATAAGCCATGATTTGACCATTTTACTTTTTGTATTCTGGGTTAGTTTACATAAATACTATCTGAGATCCTGTTATTGTAATAGAGTACTCAGTATTCAGCATGCACTTTTTTCCGTCTCTCCGTGCCTTATTGTTCTACGAGATTCCTGACCCTGTCATCTGCAGAGGTCCAATGTGCCTTTCATCTTAAATGGATTGTAGAGCTGGTACATATTAAGCCTTGTCCATGCTGTATCACTTTATCTTTTTCCCCCCCATACATATCTTGGCTGATCATCCCTTCGGTTATGGTGCTTTTGAGGTTCTGGTAATGTGTTGAAATCTGCTTTTATATCCATTTTGCATTTTTTTCTGTGTCAACCATGATATTGAGTTTCTGGAGATGTTTTTATATGTGTTTTTTAAAGCGAGTCTTTGTGGGGCAGTGGGGAAACTTTTACGTGCACAGTTTTCCAAATGTCATCCAGCCAGCTTTCTTACTCATTTCTGCTCCTAGCTTATTGTCCATTTGCATATATCTATGCTGATATATTAGTTATTCAGTTGCATGTCATAGACTGAGCAATAAGTAAGCATTTTTCATCTAGTTGATATTTACTGTATGAATTGATCTGTTGAGAGATCGTAGGCCTCATAAGGAGATGTTGCTGTGTTTTGGGCTTTGATGTGCTTGTCATAGTATCATTCATAAGAAGGAGCATCTGGAGGACATCACAGTCTTACAAGAGAGTCCCTCTTCCTTTTGAAATTTTTACAGGGCATTATCCGTGACAGCAGCAAATACTTTTGACCATCATACCTCTTGTTTTCTGGGTTAGTTGGTATAAATATTTAGAAGTTTGTTAAGGGCTGTCATAGTGATTGTATTTTTCAGTCTTCTGTGATCTTAAGATGCATGAGATATTCCTTGTGGGAGAAAGCCTTTAAGGCTGCATTCTGTTTTACTAAGTCAAATGTGTTTTTTAATGAAATAAGGAACCCAGTAGTATTTTCTTACAGCCAACATTAAGCAGTGGTCTGCTGTAGAAACTTATTTGTTAAGGCCATTTGTTCCATTGTCATCTGGAATGTAGCCTAGAGCTGAAAGGAATTTTAGACTGGTTAGTCCACCCTCTTCATTTTATAGTTAAGGAAACAGGCCTGAGGAGAACTTTCCTAAGTCATGCAGTTGAATTTGATTCTAGGTCTCCACAGATTCCAGACTTAATATACTTAATATGCCACAGAAATATACTTAATACTTGATCATTCTCATAAAGATCTCTGTAAACATGAGGCGGGGTGGCAGTGGCTTGGCAGTTATTAATGTCCTCTTGACAACTTTTTTTTTGTTGCTATCTGCATCTTATCCCTTCTGTAAGAAAGTATATGGAATGATCCCACAATGCTTTGGATTTGCTCTTTGTACTTGCTTTGGTCTAATTTTTTCCAATTCCTCTTTATTAATTGCTGTTTTTAGTATCTTATGATCACATTGGATACTGAAGTGTTTGGAGTCCAAATATTGTATTGCCACCCTCATTGTTGATAAAAATTGAGGTTTTGGAATGATGTGAAATCCTTTCTATTTTCTGTCTATGTGTTATACTCTCAGTACAGCCAAAAAGCTTTAAATAAACTAATAATATCAATCAATAGGAAATATAGTCAGGTCACTTATTGCATTAATTTTTAGATTATATTAGCATAAGTCAGTTAAGAAAAAAAACCTAAAAAACAGTACTGCCTCCAGAAAAAAAATCATTAATGAGGTGATCTTAATATGAGCTACAATGAAAAGGGAATTTTAAAAATGTTTGATTTGGAAGATAGATAATTTAATTATTTGGTCTTTGGGGAAAAAAATTGCAAAATTACTGAGTGTTGGCAGAATTTTTCCTCACTTTCCTTTGTCTTCTGCTTTTATGTCAAAAAGGTTTGAATCATAGAAATGATATTTAAGGAATAATTCTAGAAGCTAGTAATGAAGTATTTTTTAAACCTGTCACTTCTAAAGTAGCAAGAAAATGGGAAATGTTTAGGTTTTTTTCCCCAATAAGAGCAGTGATAAAAATGACAAATGCCTTCTTTTCTAGCATAAAAAAAGTTAGCTTTGGATTTTAAATGTGTTTGGAAACATTTCTTAAAGGAAAAAAAATAATGTTAAGTTTTCTTTTAAATCAAGCTGACAGCAGTTAAACACTGTTTACCTTCTCTCAACAGCCATGCAAAGGAAATTCTCCATTGCTTGAAGAACAAGTATTTCAAGGAACTAGAGGATCTGGTGGTAGATGGTCAGAAAGTTGAAGTACCACAGCCTTTAAGCTGGTAGGTTAAATCAGATTTCTTATTTCTGATTACTTTGGTATTTTAATCATTGCTACTATTGGTATGCTTAATTCTTCTTAATCTTTGCAACTAAAAGATGGTTTTGTAGCCTGACTGATTATTTTCTGTTTATTATGCTGTCACCACAGCTTCCATACTTAGTCCTCACCTTTGTGAATTGGGAAACTGACTTACATTAAATCATACTAAAAATGACTGACTAAGCTTAAACAAAAATTTGTTAACATATGAGGCAGTATTAAATATTTAATTTAATGAATTAGTTTAATTTATTTAATTAAATTAAGAATTAAATATTTTATTAAATATTAAAATAATTAATGATCAGTTACATAACAAGTTAAAAACAAAAAAGGTTACATAACAATTAAGATAAAAAGATGAGAAAGGATATAAGGGGCAGAGAGGAAGGAAATGGGGAACTGAGAAATTCCCAGGCACAGTCAGTGAGTCTTGGTAATTCAAATATAAGTGAATTCATAAAATTCATATCAGTGCAAAGCATTCTAGTTTAATTTCACATTTTCCATGTAGCCATCAAGAGCCAAATTAAAATTTCATCCAATTATGCCAAGATTTCTAGTTAAATTCAAAGCAATATAATGGTTTAGTGTAATGCTTTAATTCCAGTATTACTTTAAAGGTAATCTAAGACCCAGGGACATTAGTTTCACTGCCTACAGTAGCATACAGACTTAGTCTAATATTCAGTATCTTTGGCAGAATGACTGTGGCTTACCTTTGCAGCCTTTTGTAATACTTTTATACGATTTCTTGCTAATTTTGGAGAGTGAAATACCTGCCCCATTCCTCCTAGACCAGTATGCCCACTGTTCCTAGAACTTAGTTGCACATGGTTTCCCTGAAATCTTTTAACCTGTTCTGCCCCCGTGTTACCTGGTCTGGCTTCTGGGTTAGTCTATCCTAGAGAGAAGTTTTTCCTCTCCTACATTTTGTGCCGTTTCTTTGACATTTGTCATATACTGCTTTGTATGGCTGGGGTTTTGTGTGTACCAATTTACTTCCATTAGATTAAAGTAAATCTGACATTAATTATAAGTACTTTTTGGGAAGGGACTATGACATTGCCTCACAATGCTTTGCATGGAAATTATTTGGTTAAATAAAATTTTAAAAGTAATACTTTGAAATTGAAATAACACAAAATAAGACTCTGGCCTGGCTATTTTAATAAATAGAATATTACGGAAAAACAAAGTATTACATTGATAGATCTAAATCTAGAAAGGGCAACAGAATTAATCTTGTGTAACTCCCTTGTATTTTCTAGACCAGGAAAATAAAGTTGTGAGAGATTAAATGATGTTTTTTTTGTGACATTGAATAGATAGCAGAACCTAAATTTGAACTCAGGATTTCTGACTCC